GGCGGTGGCACACTCCAGGCAGTCTGGGGAGTTCCAACATCACCCAAAATGGTGACCTCAGGGCTGACTCAAAATATTGACTTCACTCATGTGTCCCAGAATAGCTTCCAGTTTTCAGGCAGGTCATGAATGAACTTCTTGTCAGTTTGTTTGGAAGAGAGTTTTTCCTTTTCTTTCTCCCACCCATTCTGTTCATACGTCCTTTGAGGGAAACTTTTGCTGATGTTGAATCAAATATTTGAAGATATCTGAAAAGAAAATTCTGGTTAGTAAAGAAAACCTTCCTTTTGAGCACTTCATGAAAAGATGTTAATTTGAGGCTGTGACTGTTGAATCTGGAGGCATTGAAAACAGTATGTGATTGTGTGTGTGTGTGTGTGTGTGTATTTTTTTTTCTTTTTTGAAGACTGTTGAATAAATTTGGGTGCTAATGCATGCTAATTCATTATATCCAGTTATGTTGGACTTCTTTCATTTGGTAATATAATTGAAAACATATTTAATTACACGGTGCTTTAAAATATGGCTGTTGGTTTTGAGCAGATTTAAGTTTTAGTCAAACTCCTCAAGTTTACTTTTGAAATTCATCCCTGCCCACCATGGTGCTACAGATGGAATTTAGGATTTGGTACACTGTTATTGGAATGAGCTTTTTAAACTTACATTTTTATTAAAAAGAGTCACATTGTGTGATGCTTTGCTTTTTTTAATTTTTTTTTTTTTAGTTGTAGGGGGACATAGTACCTTTATTTATTTTATGTGGTGCTGAGGATTGAACCCAGTGCCTCATACGGGCTAGATAAATGTTCTACCACGGAGCTACAACTCTAGTCCTGATGCTTTTTTTTTTTAAGTTTTTTTTTTTGTTGTTTTTGTTTTGGTACTAGGAATTGAACCCAGGGACACTTAACTACTGAGCCACATCCTCAACTCCTTTTTAAAATATTTTATTTTGACACAGGGTCTTGCTTTGAACTCAAAAATCCTCTTGCCTTAGCTTCCCGAGCCACTGGGCTTATAGGTGTGTGCTACCACGCCTGGCTAAACTTACTTTTTCATCAAAGAGAATTACATTGTCTGATGCTTTTCCACCTCTGTGTGTCTTCATTTTTATTAATTAACACGTAGAAATAACTATTGATTCTTTTTGTTCCATAATACTTGTGAATGCATATAAAAACAAAAATATAATAATAAAATTTATTCTTATTTTTATTGACACTTTCTAGCTTATGCTAAGCCTGATATCTTCAAAGACAGGTGTCCAATAATCATTATAGCAAGGGATGTTTTCTAACCATGTCTTTTAAAAAACCGAAAATAGAGCATGGTACCTCTGATGAGCACAAACTACTTGACAAGGCACAACAGCATCTTATGCCACTACATACACATTTAGAGAAAAGTATGTTTGTTCAGAAAAATATTTATGGAGACAGTTTTTCAAAGTGATAGGGAAATAATTAAATAATTATTTGCAAAGCAGGAACTTCTGCCCAACTTTTTAGTGATATAATAATTGAAGAAATATTGTTTAGCATAGCACAGAAATCAAAAATCCCATGAAGCTCCTTCTTAGCATAGCACAGATGCCCTTGACAACGACTTCTTTAGGTGTTTCTTTCTAATCACAATGAACAATGCACACTTCTCTATAAGACTTCAGTATTAACCACTCTTCCTTTCTTTGCATGAAGTTTTCGGGCCTACAAAGCATTTTTCTCCTTTATGCTCTGTCCTCTTTCCCCATAACTCCTGACACATCCCTAGTCTACAGTTTGCCCACTATAATTGCAGGTTCCATGATTGTGTCTTGTGATAGACACATTGAGAGGTAGACGCCCATTTCATCATGCACTGAGGTCACAAGTGGACACTCACAGCTAAATTTCCAGGTACGCTTTGAATCTAGAATGGAAGGAATAAAGTTTTCCAGGCAAGAGAAAAAGGCCTCTGAAAAAAGACTGAGCATGACTTCTTTCAGACTGAAGACTGAGAAGAAGGGAACTCTTACATATAAAAGTAAACATACTTTGGAAACTTAACAGAAATGTATCCACTATTCTGTTTGACATGCCATATTCTTGGGGAGCTTATTACTTTAATCTAGCAATGAATCTATGCCTGCCCTGAATGACATGCTTTGCTGAGGGTCTTGTGTAAAATGGAGGAGGATGTAGATGTGACTTGAGAGAATATTGGTCTCTTAAATCAAAACAGAAGTATTCCCAAATTTGAAACAGAAGGAGGTACAGGGGATTGGTTAAACTATTGTATGGCTGTGTAACGGGTTACTAAACCACAGTGAAAATGATGACATCAGTTTATCATTTCTGACATATTATTAAGGGGAAAAAGATATATGTGTGCTCTCACACATAGTTATCTTGTAGTGATATTGGGTCTATCCCATTGTACATTTTCTTTTTAACCTTGGAAATTTTAGAGTATAAGAAAATATATGGAGCCTTAGTTTGAACCTCTTTGATGTGACAGTTCTGTTCAACCTATGATTTCTTCTACTCTTAAAAAAGTCTTACTTCTGCTTGGACATCTTAGGAGTTTCATATTGCTGAAAAGTCTGTGTTTTAAATAAAAGCAAAAGCAGGAGGTAGCAATTGTAAGAATATTACTTGTGGTTCAAGTACACTAACTTAGAAACTCAGTTCCCTTTTTAAACTTGCTGTGATTTTCTTAGTTTATGGAGTTGCTTTTTGTCTTCAGATACAAGTTAGTGGGGAGGGGGGACTCTTTCTAAGGTCAGCTGTTTTTTCACAGTCATACTCTGTTTCTCCTGCTTCATTGATGTGAAGGGGAAATACTCTTATTTCTGGAATAGAATAGAATAAAACAGAAACAGAAAAGAATAGAAAGCCCACAACAAAGTGAGAGAACATAGTTATCTTGTGTTGGAATAAACAAAAAATTCCCATTAAGTAACTGGTAAGTATAATTTTTTTTTTAAATAGAATTCTTTGTGTGTGTGTGTGTGTGTGTGTGTGGTGCTGTGGATTGAACCTAGGGCCTTGTGCATGTGAGGCAAGTGCTCTACCAACTGAGCTAAATCCCCAGTCCCTATAAGTGTGAATATTTGATTAAAAATTTTAAAACATTATCAATTGAATCTGGTTCTTTTAAGGGCTATGTTTCTTTGTGGTTATTATTCAGGCTCTGTTGGAAATAGCATTATGTGTCTAGTACACACTACACAGTTTGTGCTAGGCTATACTTCAGTGAAAACATTTTGCAATTACAAACATAGCACCAAGTCTGTTACTTAAAAATAAGTCATTTATTTCTTAGCTACATGTAGTGGCATACACCTGTAACCCTAGTTACTTGGGAGATTGAGGAAGGAGAATCACATGTTCAAGACCAGCTCAGCAACTTAGCAAGATCCTGCCTCAAAATAAAATAAAATACAAAAAAGGCTGGGATATAACTAAGTGGTGGAGTACTTGCTTGGTATGCTTGAGACACTGGTTTCTACCCTCAGTACTTAAAAAGAAAGAAAGGAAGGAGATTATTTCTTGCTCATGTCCCCATCTAACAGGGGTCCTGGGTGACCCAAAGACTTGGACCAAGGATGCTTCCATCTAGCAGTTCGACTAAGAGCCTCATGGATGGGAGAGAAAACATAGAGGACTCATCCACTCTTTACTGACTGGAACTGCTTTATCTTCTCCTAGCTTAGGGACAACACAGTTAAATGTTCTGAATTAAACTGTGGGAAGATGGGAAATGTAAGGGAGCACATGTACTCTCGGGTGGTATATAGGTTACTTGGGTGTTATTTCATGCACAGTGAGTGCAGGCTTCAGAGGCAAGCCAAGGGAATACTCGGTTTTCATGGTCAATAGTGCATATTAGCTACTTCCATTTCTTCTCTTCCTTCTCTCTGCTTAAAAAAGGGTGCTTTCGCAATCCCTGACCAAAAAACCTGGTAGTTTAGATTCCAGTTTGAGGCCTTTGGAGACTGACACCCTTTTTTTTTCAGAAGAGGAAAAAGCTAAAAGAATAATACAGTGAATAACATTACAGGTTCCACCTTACATAGGATACCTGGTATTATTGAAATTTTCAATAATTATTTATAACTCGTTAGTTAGTCTTAAGTCTTCAGAATAGAATTGAATAACCATAACCACTATTAGTTCTATGGTGGTTAGAGTAGTTACAAACGTAACCACTAGTGAGTAATTTCACTATCTTGGGTGGGTGGTGGTTGCGCTAAACCTCTTGATGACATTTACATGTTGGCTGGCATTCTTAAAATAGATATTTGTCTGCTGACATGTCCAATATAGTTATTTAAACACATTTTAATAAAGAATTATGACAACAGATTTAAGAGGAACAAACCTGACTTTAAAAATAGTCTCTTCTCAGAATACTTTGTGCATAAACTTTTGTAACTTTTTCCTTGAATAGATCTAGGGTTTTTCTGAGGAAAGGATTTATATACTTCCACAGTGCTTTATGCTATTAGTTCCTGGCACATTGGGCATAACTTTCTCAATAGTGAGGTACTGAAATATAAACGTTTGAATATAGTATGTCAGATCTCTGTTTCCTGCCAGTTAAATTGCATTTCCTGGTTATAACTTTTTGATTCATACTGTCGTTGGTGTTCATCTTAGCCTTGTCATTTACAAACTGTGTCATACAAAAGAGTGTCATAAGCTTTGATTTTCCATAAATATCTTTAAGCCATAGAAAGAACTTTTGGCAGTATAATAAGTGATCACAGTATTTTGTTGTATAGTTATGTAATGATTTAGTAACTGGAAAATATCATTTTCAATTACTTTTCACATGTGAATTAGGATATTTGCTGGGATTCAGAGCAACCCTGGATCTTGTTTTTCTGGGTTGCTGAATATAGTATTTGACTAAACAAAGGTACACCATTCCTAACCTAGCTGGACAGAAATAAACTTTCTTATACTAAGACCAAAATATTTAGTTTTTCATCTCTCACAATATTCTGGTTTTTTTAGGCAACAGAGATTATGCCAAGGATGATCCATAAGAGTTTAAATCCCGCCAGTGGTTTGGAGCATCTGTGAGGTCAAAACAGGATAAAATTTTGGTAAGTCTTTGTTATATTTCTTTTTAGGTGAGATGGATAGCAAGGGTGATGGTTTCAAGCTCATGGTGAAATTCAGCATTGGCAAGCACACGGAATGTAGTGAAATAAGGTAGCTGTGATCAAAGACGGCTCCTCTGAGGATACCACGCTCCTGATTTTTCTACCCTTGTTTCTGCGTTGTTCGTTTTTCATGCCCCACTTGATAGCTCCCATCAGTTTATTTCTATCCACTCAAGTTTAGGAGTAGCATACCTGTGATTAAGAGAGCTCTAGTGCTCCTTCTTTTTAAAAAAATACAGCAAACAGTTTTCCCTTTACTTCCCCCATCCTCCTCTCTGCCTCTGCCCCATTTCTCTGCATCTCTTCTCATAGAAAGTGCTTTCTCCAGTAACTGTCTCCACTTTTGCTCCTCTCGTTCTCTTCCCAGCCACTCCTGTCGGGTAGGCAAGGCTAAGCTCACCATTCATTGACTGTCAGATCACTGAAATCCACTGGTACATCATTTTGTATATGTGTTCATGATATATATATATATTCCCCTGCCCCCACCAGTTGTACTTCTTTCTTTCTTGCCCCTCAGCACCATTTGACACAGTCACTGCCCCTACTTCCCACCTTTTAAAAATACATTTCTTCCCTTGGTTTCCGTGACACCGTACTTTCCTGATTTTTCTTCTTACTGGCTGCTCCTTTGCATTGTCTTTTCATGGCTCCTCTTCTACTCAGTTCCTAAATGATGAGGTGTCCTTAAGCTCTATTCTGGACCCTGTTCTTTTCTCATACCTTTTACCTAGGGGCTCCTATCCTGTACCATGTCTGTAAATACAAACTATATGTTACAACCTTCAAATCTGTATCTCTGGCTCTTAGTTTTCTCTAGTTTATTTATTTATTTATTTTGTCCTGAGGATTGAACTGAGGGGCACTTGGCCACTGAGCCATTCATCCCCGGCCCTATTTTGTATTTTATTTAGAGACAGAGTCTCACTGAGTTGCTTAGCATCTCGTTGTTGCTGAGGCTGGCTTTGAACTGGAGATTCTCCTTTCTCAGCCTCCCCAGCTGCTGGGATTACAGGTGAGAGAGTGCCACCACACCCTGCTTCTTCCTAGACTTTTAAAGACACATTTCCTATCTATTTGGCATTTCCCTTTGGATGTCTACTAGATTATTGAAAATGAAAATGAAAATGGTGCAATTAGGACTCCTGTTACCCTTCATCAAAAAGCACACAGCAGCACACAAACTTATCTATCTTCCCAGCAATTGAGAAGCATGGCTCTCTCATCCACCAGGGAACCCTATCAATTCTGCCTTCAGAATGTATCCCACACCCATCAGGAGATCTTCATCTTCATCATGGCTGCCCTGTAGTGAGCCGTCACCACTCTCACCTGGGCCAGATCACTAGCTCTTCTCGTCTCTCTATTACCTTCTTGCTCCAACTACTGTCTGTTGTACATAGAAGGACTGAAGGGAATCGGAGTCTTTCCCTTTGGTGAAAACAGTCCAGCACTTTCTTTCACTCTCTGAATGAATGTCAGAAACTTGTCCTGACTTATCAGCATCCCCCCAAATTGGGTTTTGGCCTTTCTCTTTGGCATTTTCTCAATCCATTTTCATACTTCAGTCACACTGGTCTTTTGTCCATTTATTCCATATATAGAGTCATTTCTGTTTGTACCTTAGTGTTTGTGTGTCCTCTGCTTATAACAGTCATCTTGTTGATTTTCAAAATCAACTCTTTATTATTCATACTTCAGCTTTAATATCATTTCCTTGGAGACTCCTCCCCTATTTTAATTACCTGCTTAGTATTTATTACTGTCTTTTGTTTTTCAAGTGATAATGAATTTTTGGAAAAATTTATTCAAGAGGAGGATTTTTATCAAGACTTTAACAATTTGAGACGAAAGGTGGGCTTGAGAAGGGGGGCATGTTATGCAGAAAGAAGAGCAAGGAAGCAAAAAGAAGAAGTAGCATCAAATCAGCTTCTCTAGAGCAGTCACATGTGCAGAAGTAAAAATTCGTACTTGCAGTTTTATAAGAGTGGATATAAAATAGCCTAGTGTTGAAGTCAAGTATTTACGTTAGCACTTTGCTTCAAGGAGTACTATGGAAATCCATTACACTTCTTCAGTAAATTGAATTGTCAATGCTTTTCGTAGATTTTGGTGCCATTATTATGTGCACCAAATTATGTGCATTATTTTATGGCTTCTACATGACATTGAAATTAGAATTCTGAAAACAAAAAGTTCATGATTTACTTGGAAAATAAATAAGCACTGCAAATTCTAATTACTCAGTAATCTATTTACTGTACAATTTAGGGGTGTATCCTTAATACACTGAGTGTTACTGAGTTCAAAAGTTGATTTGGTCTGTGACCTTCAGCTTATTAGCACATAGCATCAGGAAATATGTTACTGCAGGGCTTGGTGATTCACACCTGTAATCCCAATGGATTAGGAGGGTGAGATAGGAAGATTACAAATTTGAGTCCAGCATCAGTAACTTAGTGAGGCCCTATGAAACTTAGTGACACCCTGTCTCAAAAAAAGACTGGGAATGTGGGTCAGTGGTTAAGTGCCTCTGGGTTTAATCTCCAGTACCAAATAAATAAATAAATAAATAAAAGAAATATGAAATAATATCTTTTCTAGCTATTTTGAATACACATATTTGGACCACAAATATGGGCTTCAGAAGTAAATGAGAAAAATATTACTTTTAAAATTATTATCTACTACGATGAGGGGATAGATTGATTAATCTTAATTTTAATTAAAAAAATTTTTAATAGTAGTGGGATTGAACCACTTAGCTATGTCCCCAGCACTTTTTATTTTATTCTCAATCAGAATCTTGCTAAGTCACCCAGGCTGGCCTTGATCTTGTGATCCTCTTTCCTCAGCCTCCCAAGCCACTGGGATTATAGGCATGCACCACTGTGCCTGGCTTAATTTTTATTAAGGTTTAAAAAGTGATACTATAATTTTTTGGAGACTTTTTGTATCATGAACTGAACCTTTCGTTTCAGGCCTGTGCTCCCTTGTACCACTGGAGGACTGAGCTGAAACAGGAGAGAGAGCCTGTTGGAACTTGCTTTCTTCAAGATGGAACAAAGACTGTTGAGTATGCTCCATGCAGGTCAAGTATGTACGGGAAATTGTACCAGCCTTTAACAAGAGGGGCGGGAGCCTAGTTTGTTAAAAATCCGTGTGTGAGTGTGGGTGTGTATGTGTGATAAAACATGCAGGTTATGAGAGGAAAATGAAAGCATCATATTAATGAGAGCAACTGCAAATATGAAGTAAATAAGCTTATTGTTTCTAAGAACTCCTTTCACCTTCCTTTGTTAGTAATGAATATCTGACTTTGTAACTCTTGAATTCAATCATGGTATGTCAAAAAGTGCTCAGTTGAGCTTCTTTAACAGTGATGAAGGACCCTACAACTAAAGATTTTGATTCAGTAGGTCTAGGTTAGGCCAAGGTACATGCATTTTTAATAAGCTTTACAAGGTAATTTTGACGTATACCAAAGTGTGAGAACCTTTGCTTTACATTAATAATGATGGTAAAAATATGTCTCAAAGAGCCAGATTATATAGTTTAGGAGTCTTAAGTCTAAATTCTTAATCCTTACTTGGAGTTTCTAGGTAAATTAGCTACTAAACAGGTGATATAAAAGTTTCATGCTTTTCACCAATATTAATTGAAATTTTAAATGAAATTAATGTTGTGACTGACCATGATTTCAAACTCTTACACATTTGATTATGCTTTTCCAAACTCTGCACCTCTTTTTCCCCTTAGAGATTCCAGTCTTTTCACACCCCTGCCTTTTGTTCAATTAACTGCTATTCTAAATCTTGTTTATTCAAGAAACATAAAAATAAAAGATCAAAATGCCTAGTCTGTGGAAGATACATTGCAGGATTTCCCATGAATGTTCAAAAACAGAACCGAATCCTCTGTGCTACTATGTTTTTCATACATACCTATGATAAAATTTAACTTATAAATTAGGCACACTAAGAAATTAACAATAATAACTACTAATAATATAGAATAGTTATAATAATATCCTGTGGTAAAAGATATTTAAAATTTATAAATTATTTATTTCTGGAATTTTCCTCTTAATATTTTCAGATAGTGATTGACTTAGGGTAACTGAATCTGTGGGAGGCAAAACCATGTCAAGAAAAGTGGACTGCTGTATGGTGTTTTTACCTGGAGCCCTTTTTAAGTTAGTTCTTTTTCTTCTCTTTTCTTTCTTTCTTTCTTTTTTTCATAATACATTTATTTATTATATTTATTTTTAGTTCCTGGCACATTGAGCACAATTTTCTCAATAGTGGGGTACTGAGATATAAATGTTTGAATATAGTATGTCAGATCTCTTTTTCTTGCCAGCTAAATCACATCTCCTGGTTGTAACTTTTTGATTTGCTGAGGATAGAACCTAGTACCTCACATGTGCTAGGCAAACGCTCTACCACTGAGGTGTAACCCTAGCCCTTAAGTTATTTCTTTTTATGTCCCTTTGGTCACCGAATAGTTGAATAGAGAGAATTCATAACAAAAGTTCAACTTGTAAGACTTTTCCTGCTAGATTCCTTGTCTCCACGTAAAGCAACATATGGCACCAGGTCTAAGGAAGTATTTGGTCCCCAAAATTGTAAGTAGTTGAATCTCCAGAAAACTGCAAATTATTTCATTAAACACTTATTTCTTATCCCACCACCTTGATTCTACCTATTGTAAGTGGAAAGTAAACATCAAAAGAATGTCCCCCCCCCACATCCATTTAATGTGTGAGTAAAAATTAGGTCCCAGAGCACCCTATACAGGATGGAGGGATTCAGAAGCTTCATCCTCAGAGTTTTGTGCCATCTGTCCTGTTGGTTTTTGTGTTTTTTTTTTTTTTTTGTTCATGGTACTGTTATTTTTGGTAGTGTAGAGAAAATCTGAGGAATAAATTTGTAATTTCTGTATTGCAAAAATGTTCTTACTCTGAGAGGATAATTTTATAGCCATGAGGAAGAAGCAAACTATTGTATGCCAGAATATAATTTATCAATTATACAACACACATACAAACACTCTTATTATTCTCATTTGAGAAATGTAGAAACAGATTCAGACACTTGAAAAAAAAATTTTCACTTCTTATGGGTACTGAGTGGTCAAATGAGGATTTGAATTAAGAACTGCCTTTTTTTCCTCTCGTTTTGGTGCTGGGGCTTCAACCTAGGGTCTCATGTTCACAAGCTGTACCACTGAGCTGTACCCACAGCCTCCTAGGTCTGTCTTGTTCCAAAGGAACCTTTCTCCTGCATTACTAACAATAGAAAATGCTTTCTATTTCAGTTGCTTTGGTTTAAAACACAGCTTTTCTGCAAGGAATACATCCTGTGTCTTTCAAGAGAATAGGTCTGGATAATTCCCGAAATGAGACAGTAAACAGAAACCTCCTGAAAATGTGCATCCTAATGATTCCTTGTGGATCTGTCACATAATGCTTTTATTATTTGGTTTAGGCATAGAAATTATAAAGTAATTCAAAACCTTGTTTTTTAAGGTATTTAACATCTAAATCTGACTGGGGAACTATGGCTTGTGGCCGTTTTTGTAAATAAGGTTTTATTGGAATAGAGCAACACACATTCGTTGGCATATTATCTGGGAAAGTTGAGTATTTCCATAGTTGCCATGCTGTATGGCCCCTAAATCTAAAATATTTATTATCTGGTTCTTTATAGAAAAAGTTTACTGAACTCCTACCTAAATAATAAAACCTCAAATCTTAGGAAAAGCTTGGAGAACAATCTTATAAACACAACAGCAAAGTGAATATTTTTTTTCCTAACAGGCCTGGCATCAGTTACCCTTGATTGTTGAACATATTCTTTGATCCAAACTTTGTAATGCTGAGCTGCCTCTAGGCTCAAATTAAGAGGGGCAGCTTATCCAGAGAAAAATCTCAAAAGTTAAAAGCTTGAAAACCTGAGTGATAATTTCAAATTCTGGTAATAATTAACCTACAGCTATGGGTTATTCACTTAATCCATCTGGACTCTTGTTTTCTTATTGGTAAAACACTAGTTCCAACAAAGCATGGCAGAGGTACAGTTTATATATATATATATATATATATATATATATATATATATATATATATATATCTCCTCTATTTTTCATGATGATGTGGGTTTTGTAGGGCTATATTGCCAACTTCTTGATAACTTTGCTTGTCTTAGTTGTATTTAGTTTATAGGGTTTTTTGTTGGTTTCTATTTGTGTTTTGGTTTGGTTGGTTGATTGATTTTTTTTTTAGCATGACCTATGTGGACACTCTGGACTAGGAATTTCCCTATCTACTCTCAATTTTCCTTGTTACTGATTACAATTGCTTCCGGCTTTTCATAACTGTGTCTATGACCATTCTTGGCGTTATTCAATAGACCAGATGTCCAATCTGTTCTAGACATGCCTGAGCCACAAATCACATGATGTAAATAAATACTCTTTCAACGCCATGCAAAAGCTGAGTTCTTTGTTCCTTCTGCTCACTTTTTGATGATAATATTATTTGAACATAGATTTTTTTCCAGTTTGGATTTCCAGTTCCTTCCATTTTTTCAGTACTTAGAGAATATTAAGTACATTGCTGATTTGAGATAGTAGAACATAGTAGTGTAGACACACCTGGATTCAGATCTGTAACTCTTTATTTGATCTAGCCGATTCAGCATGTCAAGTTACTTAATTTCCCTAAACATTAATTTCCTGATCTGTACAAACTGTGAATAATATCTTCTAGGATTGCTGTAAACATTTTAAAAGGAAATTCTATGTAAAATACTTTAACATCATATCTGGCTCACAGTGAGAGCTTCGTAAGCACTAGCTGATACTACTATTGTAATCAATAATATTCATTCCTATAGTATCATTGCAAGGTGAAACAAATGAGAGAAGTATTAATCATCTGTAGTAAAACAAAACAAAACAAAGCCTTCATTGAAATATGTTCAACATGAAGGTTTTTGATTGTTGGAAACACTCCATTCAATAGGTACCTGTTAAGACAATTTTAAGGAACAGTAATGTGTTTTAGCTGGATGTTCTGGGAAAACAAAGCAGTGAGTTGTACATATGATAATCAGAAAAGAATGTCTTTATAAATAGCCTGAAATAGTTCCCCAGATGCAGCTGGAATAAAGGAAATAAATGGCTAACTTGAGGTTAGAGCAGAATTCCTTGGTATGATTCACTAGACACTGGAAATCCCAGCCCCACATTTTCCCACTCTCTTTTGGTTAGAAAAATTTACATCAGGGTAGTATTACACTCTTGTGGCTATTTTCTAAAAAAAAGATTTTAAATTTAGATATTCAGTATGTAATCTTGGGGCACTTCCCAGGTTTAGAAATGGATTCAAAATTTTTGATGGGATTATTTTACACAAAATTCTTTGGAGTTGTCCTTATGACTAAATGTATATACTTTTGGTTCCTATATTTGGGTGGCTAATGCAGTAATAAGTTTTATATATTTGTAACATTGGTTGCAAGAATTCTTTGATAATTGAAGGATGGTGCTTTCCATTGTTCCTTGCTCTCCTTAAAATAAAATAAGGAGGGTTGGGATATAGCTCAGTTGGTAGAGTACTTGCCTCACATGCACAAGGCCCTGGCTTCAATCCCCAGCACCACAAAATAAATAAATAAATAAATCAAGGAGAAAGTCTTTAGATTCATCCTGACTTCTATTCTTGGTAGAGTAGTACTCGTGGTTAAAATTAATTTAAATTAATTGGCTAATTATATAATTCAAAGTTAGTTTCTTTTCTGAGAACTACAAAAAGGGGAAGATAACTGCAGAAGAGCAAAACAACTTTGGTTGGGAAATACTTGAAGATGTCATGTTTAAAGATGTTCACTCTAATTAGATCCCAGTTTTAAATATGTTGTGAGCACAGTTTCATATTTTGTTCTTCATAGAACGTTTTAAGTTTGGGCCTTGCCCTTTTCTGAAATTCTCAACTATCTTCTTTATATAGCTTTTATTTTTAGTGTTATAAAATGTATGTATATGAAATGTATGTGCGAGGAATGTATGTATCTCTTTGCTGAGTTATTTTTTACTTTTTTTGGTACTGGGGATTGAGCCCAGGGGCACTTAACCACTGAGCCACATCCCCAGGTCTTTTTTGTATTTTGTTTTAGAGACTGAGTCTCACAAAGTTGCTTAGGGCCTCGCTAAGTTGCTGAGGCTGATTTTGAACTTAGGATCCTCCTTCCTCAGCCTCCTGAGCTTCTGGGATTATAGGCATGCGCCATTGAGCCCAGCCTTTGCTAAGTTATTCATAACTTCTCAAAGACCTAGCAAGAATAGAGTGACAGGAACAAAGAGTGTTTTCAGATGGCAGGTTTTAAGTTGCAGGTGAAAACTCATTTGTGTTTTACATATAGTGGGACATAACTGGTAATTTTTTGAAAAGTAAAATAAAATACAAAGTAGAAAATATTGGAATACATTATATGTAACAATAGTAATATTAGTTTGTGAAATTTTTTAAAATAATTTTTTAGTTGTAGACGTGGTGCTGAGGGTCAAACCCAGTGCCTCACATGCATGAGGCAAGCACTCTGCCACTGAGCCACAATCCCAGCCCCTATTTTGTGAAATTTTATTTATATTACATATTTAACATTATTTTATACACAGTGTATAGTGTGTTGTCATATAAACTATAATCTTGCTGTGGATTGTGGTTAAAACAAAGAAATTTGAAATTCACACTTGTAGTTGATCTTTCTGTTACCCAGAAACTGGTCCAGATATTCAGTGTCTCTTTGTTTCCAAATCTGAGGAAATGGTGCTGATAAACGTGCATACTGACCTTTTCAGAATAGGATGATGGCTCAGTGCCTGCGTGATTGACCAGTCACAGAAACTAGCACATTGTCTTGCAGTTATGGTGATATCAGATTTTCTCATGTTTTGTTTATATTGTTTGTTTTTGGGTTTGTGTATATTTCCAATCTTTTTATTTTAGAAAATATTGATGCTGATGGACAGGGATTTTTTTCAAGGAGGATTCAGCATTGATTTTACTAAAGTAAGTTCTTATTTAAAACTGAATGAGATTCGGATCTACCTTATCAATAAACTGTGCTTAAAAGTAAACTGGTCATTACTTCAGCGTCTTTATAGTTATTACCTGCTTAATGGAAATAGCTAATAAAACAACCCATTCGTTTTGACATTCTTGCCTTATATTATTCCCTCCCTAGTAAACATTGCTTATTTGAAATAGGCATCAAATAGACATGACAATGAGAATGGAGGGAAGTAAAGAATCTCCTCAGTAAATGATAGGTAACTATTGTGACTTAATGTTAAATATTCCACTTACATGAACTTATAAAGTTTCTGTTTTCAACTGAAATTTTTTTTCACAAAACTATCAATTGAAAACTTTATTACACAATTATACAAAAGCCAAGAAGCACAATGTTTGTCATTTATGTGCCTATAGGTACCCAGGGAAGCTGATGTGATTTCTTAATTGTAGCACATCTCATATCCAAGGCTCTAATGTACCCTTCAGAGTTGCTAGCTTTTATGTTCTTTTCTAAAACAAAATTTTCATTTATATTTTCAAAGTTTTTCTCAAGTACTTTTCTTTATAAATTTTTTTTTATTCTTTATTTGTGAGTTTTGTAAACAATTTGTTGATCAAATTGAAATAGTAATTCCTTTTAGAGAGTTGTAAAAATATATCGATTAATTAAGAGTAGAGCTTCCTTGGAAAGCTTACTTTATAGCTTTCTTGGAAAATGTAAACAAAGAAAAGTCCATAAATTTATGAAACAAACTGAAATTAAAATTGTGGGATGATGGAGTACTAATAAAGCATTTTCTTATATTTTACATTTGTTTTATTTCATTAAATTTTTTTCTGAACTAGGTGCTAATAATTATTGCTAACTCTCTTTACTATGTACTTGATTTTTGAATTCACTTAGTTTCATACTACTTTAGTTATAATTCAAACTTTAAGGAAGGCAAACAGAAATAAAGTATATTAATAAACATTAGGCTTAAACTTGCATGATATATTTTCTCCAGTAGTTATTTTTTTAAAAAATCCATGTTTTCTATACCTATGCCTATACAACTATTCCCCTAGAAGTATTCTCATGCTGCACAAGTTATTGCTAAATTAACTGTTTGCTTTCTTAAACCCATTTGTGAAGAAAGCATATATTTTAAGTTGAACAATTTGGAACCGCTTTTATATAGTTGGGGCATGAAGTTGTTGAGAGCCTGAAAGGAATATGTGTGCATTTGGAGTGAATAAAAAAAAATTCTTCTTGCCTCCAGCAAGAAGAAATTTCTAAAATACTGTGCTCAAATTTAGAATACTTCCAATTAAAGCTTTACAGTTTGCTATAGATATAAGAAGTGCTAGTCAAGTATAATTTGTAGAAATTTACCTTCTAACTTCACACCTGATGTGAGACACTAAAAATAATATTCTTTTAGCAGAAAATTCTTTATTGATATTAAAAAAAAACTTCCTTATGAAGTCACAAATCTCATATATAGTATTAAGAAGTGAATTTTTTATTATAACCCAATAATTCTTTGAGCTAGTACAGTATTCAAAACATGGAAAATAGCTGAGTTCTACAGAAAAAAATGTTTTCATATTTAATTTTTTAAATAAAAGTTACAAAAATCACTAAAACCAAATTAGATGAATATGAACATTTTAATATTATTGGCTTTTATATGTAATAGGTATAAATACACATAAGTATTTTTTATGCTTATTACATTGATTTCTGTTTCTAATGCTCTTTGTTTTTAAATATATATACTTTTGTTGTTTGATTCAATCTAGGCTGACAGAGTACTTCTTGGTGGTCCCGGTAGTTTTTATTGGCAAGGTAGGTTAATATGTTTTAAATTATGCTATACTGCCTGTGTGTTTCTGATTCACCTAGTTTATTTTCATGCAACTATGAAAAATTTCAAACTGTTTTAAAAAAGAAATGTAAAATGTAATATGTTTATAAATATTCAGTTATGTAACTTTTTAAAAAAGAAAATAGCAAGAAATATTATAAATATGTATATATTCTTAGTAGAAAATAATATTTTTAAAGTAAAATATAAAGTAAAGTATATAAGATTTAAAATAACTTATTTTGATTTTATGTGGTGTGTATTTCTTTATGTCTGTATTCTGGAAGCCATGACACAACCACTAGTAGGAGTAGGACCAATCTGGGTAGGCAAATTGTGGCATTCTGACAGCTCAGAGTTTTAATTGTATTTTGAAATTGCTCATTAGAATAATTAAATGTTTATTTTCTCATTAATCACTGACATCAAGATTAATCTCTTAAGTGTTGGGGACTTTTTAAAACAGAAGATCTTATTATTATCTTTTTAAAAGTATAATTAAATTGGCATTGACAAAGAGAAAACTATATTTTTCAATCATTTGGGGAGGCCTAATTAAATTTCCATTTGAACAAATGAATAACAGATCATTACTGCTGACAGTTTGAAAATAGTTAACTGAATTTGTTTATTTGCTTTGTTTATGTTTTATTTATCATTAGAGATCACAATTATTTATTTAGTCAATATATTGACATGATAATTTCTGCCCCAAATGCTATTTACAAGATCATAACTCTTGTTTATTATTCTTCTGATATTTAAACACTGTCAGTGTTTGAAAGAATTGGAAAACCTATGCATATATGGATTTGAAAGTACTTTTTAATTTCTGAATTTTACTTTTATGTTCTGCACAATGCTTTCCTTACTTGGTTCTTTGTAGGAACCTCATTCGCTTGCATTAAAGTAACAGAGAAGGGGCTGGGGATGTGGCTCAAGCGGTAGCGCGCTTGCCTGGCATGCATGCGGCCCAGGTTCGATCCTCCAGCACCACATACAAACAAAAGATGTTGTGTCCGCCAATAACTAATAAATAAATAAATATTAAAAAAAAATAAAGTAACAGAGAAGCCAAAGAGAGATTTGCTGAAGGAAAATGGGATGGAAGGGAAATAAGAAGGAATGATAATAGGAATAAATGAAAAGTTGAAAGGGAAATCAAAGGAGGAGATGAACAGCAAAATTTGAATTTCCATGAATTATCTGTCTATTGGGAAGAGATATAGGAATATTATAATTGAGTTTTACTGTTTAAAAACAAAACTTGGTATTCTAAAATACATATGAAAAAGTAATAGGATGTTAATACTTCCCTGTTAGTTATAAAACTATGGACTTGTGGCCTGGGGTTTTGTAGCTCTGGGGTAGAGCACTTGCTCAGCATGCAGGAGGCCATGCCTTTTGTCCCACCAGTAAGAAAAAACAACCAAACAAACATGGATTTCCTCTTCTTCTGTACTAGGTGTGTCATTCAGTAGAGGGGAAGGAAGCATGCCTGAGAACTAAAACTGTGAGGGAAGCTAGATTTTGTGATTCTCAGGACTGCAATTCTTTTTAGGTGTTACAGTTGTGAATGTTTTTAAATGACTTCTTCTTTTAATACCTTGAGTTACTACATCATATATTTTTGTGTTTGTTTAATTATATATTAGGACAAATAGATACTATATTTATTAGAGTTTTATTATTATAAGTGGTCTAGAATATGGGACTAAAAACTGAGTGAATTGGCAGAGAATCTTTTATTTTAATAAGATTAAAATCAACAGATTTCACCCTGGATAAATAGGTACTTTAGAATGAATTGTTTAATAGATCTTGGAATTGCCTCTGTATAAAAAAATGGTAATGTTTTATTCTAAACAGATTATCATTTTCTTCTGTTCTTTGATTCATTTATTGAATTTTTTTCTATGTTTTCAATATTGTTTAGGTACAGAGGATAAACTAGTAGCTCGTAGAAAGTACTGCCCCATATGACAGAACAAATTAGATCCACATCAAAAACTTCAGCTCTTTCTAAAATGGCAGAAATCAAAATTTTTAGGCAGGTGGTATTTAATAAATCAGCCAACCTTTCTTGGGGTGGAGGTTGTCTGATTTTTGTATAGTCATCTGGATTCCATGTCTATCTAATAATTTAAGGTTGTGAGGCAAAGTGAGCTCACCCATCCAGATTGCTTCATAAGGGCATTCAGATAACTAGTTAAGTCAATAAAGTGATTATTCTAATTATAAAGGTAACAGTATTTAAACATTACAGTAGTTGTTTGTTTTTACAGATTTGGTTGGGAAATAGTTCTTGATTTCATTATTTTGAATTTTTGGTAAATTAAGACCAAATCTGTGTTCTTAATTTTTTATGAATGGAGAATAATTTTACGTATTGGCTTGAACAGTAAAAGTTTTAAGTTAAAGAATCTCTGACTTCAAATATAGCATTATAAAGGAGGATTAAGACTAATTATTAGATGTACATATATCTACTACTGTTTTATTTAATGTATGTAGTATTCATTGTCTATATCATAGAGTTCCCATTAGAAGATCATTTATTACATACATATATATGTTTATGTGCATGTATGTATGCGTATATATATATATTTTTCTTTTTTTTTTTTTTTTTTGGTCAGGTCAGCTTATCTCGGATCAAGTGGCAGAAATTGTATCTAAGTATGACCCCAACGTTTATAGCATCAAGTATAATAATCAGTTAGCCACTCAGACTCCACAAGCAATTTTTGATGACAGTTATTTGGGTAGGTAAAAGGGCTATATTTGTTCTATTATTAAAATAAATAAAAATCTTTTATGTGAAATAGATTAAGATTTTTTAAAGCATAATTAATGTACAATTTCAAATTGTTATTGAGTACTTAGGTTGTGTTACATTTCAGTAATGGACATTGGAAAGTGTGATTGTTTATGTGGTGATAACAGTGGCTAACCTTTCAGATGTGCTTACTATGGTCTGGGCATTCCTAATGTTTTGTGTGTATTCGCTCATTTAGTCCTCACAAGTCTATGAAAATTTACTGTCATTCTCATTTTGTAGGTGAGAACACTGAGGCGCAGAGAGGCAAAAGCACTTGCCCCAAGTCACACATAATTTGCTGTTTTGAGATTCAGACCCAGGTGGTCTGACTACTGCACTTTTAGCTACTATTAAACTACAGTTTGGGTCTTGGGGATTTATTAACGTTTGTTCTCTCTCTTTAAATTTCTCTTTTATTTATGAAAATAAATCATACTCAACAGAACTAGTACTTACTGATTGAGAGAATCTGTTATTTGTTTCCTCTTTTTGATGAACTGCAAATTTACCCTGATTTTAATAGACTCTTGTAAAGTGGATAAAACAATCCTATTTTTCTAATACAGATAGTGTACTTGAGTATTTAACTGAATTATTTATTTATTTATTTATTTATTTATTTATTTATTTATTTTGGCGGGGGGTACCAGGGATTGAACTCAGTGGTACTTGATCACTGAGCCACATCCTTAGCCCTTTTTGGTATTTTATTTAAAGACAGGGTCTCACTGAGTTGCTTAGCACCTTGCTTTTGCTGAGGCAGGCTTTGAACTCTCCATCACCCTGCCTCAGCCTCCTGAGCTGCTGGGAATACAGGTGTGCGCCACTGAGCCTAGCTGAATTATTTAAAATTTATTTGTCAAAAGATAAAACCCTACCTAGTTAAAGGAGTTACTTGATCATATTTTGAAGGCAATTTTACTTAACAAGTACGCTGTTAACTCCTGCTCTCATGGTGTCTCACCTTTGCTTCCCATTTAGGTTACTCAGTGGCTGTCGGAGATTTCAACGGTGATGGCATAGATGGTATGAAGCATGTGAACTATGTTTAATCCTTTAAAGAATTTAAATCAAGCCTTTGAAACATGTGACATTGAGATTCTTCAGTAATTTGAAACTATTTTTATGGAATTTAAATGGAAGACACTAGTAAGAGTTAGTACACTGAGGAAAGTCCCACTCTGGGTCTCTGTTACTCTCACTCTGTTGGTTGTTCAAGGCCTGCTGTGGGCCTTGGTGTCTTTCCCACCCACAGTCAGTGATTTCTTCAGCTCCTTCCTCTTTGCTTTCAGCAAATTCGACCTCTTGGAGCATTCCTTTTTTATTTAGGCTCTGGACAAGGTCTGTAAGCTGTTATCTCCTTCCTCTGTGTACTAGTGTTCCTTCAAAGCCCAATGCCGCAGTCTTAGATAGACTTTGCCCAACTTTGGTCACACTTCTGTACCACAGCCACCTCTACCCCATTTCAGTTTGATTTATATTATTTTTCATTACTTAAAGCATAACTTTTCTTAGTTCATAGGTTACATTATCTTAATTCTTGCTTAGGAAGATTACAGTGATTTGAGGGTTCCTGTGCATATATTTGAGGACTTGAGATGATTTCTGCATTTTTCAGATTTCGATTTTTATAGTTAAAATGCTATTTCTTTATTATAGAATATCAATTTTTTTTTAGAATTTTTTTTAATATTTATTTTTTAGTTCTCGGCGGACATAACATCTTTGTTGGTATGTGGTGCTGAGGGCCGCACCCATACCAGGCGAATGCGCTACCGCTTGAGCCACATCCCCAGCCCTAGAATATCAATTTTTAAAAATGTTTATTTAGTTGTAGATGAACACACAGTATCTATTTATTTTTATGTGGTGCTGAGGATTGAACCCAGTGCCTCACACATACGAAGCAAGTACTTTATCACTGAGCTTAATTTTTTTCAATTAAAAAATTGAAATATCAATTTTTAAAAAAATCTCTCATTTTCTACTAAAGTTATAAAACAAAACTTTAAGCTCTCTAATAGCTGCTTCTTCAGTTTCCAGTGTTGGTCTTAAAATTGAAGACATGTTCATTTATTTATTTTTTGTTGTTCTTTTCAGACTTTGTTTCGGGAGTTCCAAGAGCAGCAAGAACTCTGGGCATGGTAGGAGAGATGGAAATTGTTTTTAAAAATCTGTGTGTTACCTTTTATTTTACTATACTTCATGTGCTTATATTTTTTTCTACACAGGTTTATATTTATGATGGGAAAAACATGTCYTCCTTGCACAATTTTACTGGTGAGCAGGTATGCTTTTAAAAACATCATCCTTATAAAAGTACATATTTATTAGAGAAATTGTGGAAGATGAAGTATAAGAGATATCTATCATCCAGTCAAACAGATAATCCATCAAACTGTCATTATGGTGTATTTCTCGTGTGTGTGTGTGTGTGTGTGTGTGTGTGTGTGTGTGTGTAAACAAAAAGTGGTTTATTTAGATTTCTATGTCTTGCTTTTTTCACTCAACATTCTCTAATATCTTAAAACTTTGCTTTGTGATATCAAAATGGAGTAATGATTCTATAATATTTAATTTTTAGATATAAGATAGGCTTTATATATTTAACCTTTGCTTTAGCCAAGTAATTTAAGCAAAACTTTTGTAATTGATTATTATGGCTTTTTTGTTTGTTTGTTTTCTTTTTTCTTTTTTTTTTTAGGAAATAAAAAATCAAATTACACACACATAAAACTACAAAAACTTCCTTTGTGGAAGTTCAGAAAAACTTTTCTATGCTGATGATATTCAATTCCCTGTAAGGAATGATCTATATCTTAATTTTATTAGAGGCAAAACAGCATGGCACAGTTTTACGTATTATAGATATTATAAGCAAACCTGGTTTGTACTACATGAAATAAAATATTCTTCAATTAAAGTGTAGTTCTTTTAAGTACTAGGCATTCTTTACAAGTAGAGACATTTTATAATATTGTATATCTCAGAATTAAATAATAAGTTGGCAATGATAAAAAACAAACAATAAGTAGAGAAAAAAAAATACCTCATTGTGGTTTGCAGCTCTGGGATTCCAGCCTACATGCTTAGCTGGGAGAGGATTAATAGGCTGAGGAACTAGAACCCTAGTCTCCAGAAACCTCTTCCATCTGTGTGGCTACCAAGGTGGCTGTGCAACACGAATGGCCTGTAGTTGATTGGTGTTTAGGGTTATTTCAGGGGTGATTGTCTCCTTCTGTTGTTGTGACTTCTTTGGCTCAAACAGTGTGTCCTGTCTGATGTACACTTGTGTCTCTGGATGCTGACATATCTTCATGAAGCTTCCTTCATTCCTTCTAGCCATTATGTGGGGAAGGGCTAGAAAACATGGGCTTTGGATGAGTACAGACCTGGGTTGTCCATGATTTGTTTGCTATTACATTGCACAAAACATTCTTTCATAACTGTTTAGTTTTTTTTTTATTTATAGGTGGGCATGTGGCATAGTTGTGAGAATCCAATGAAAATATTTCAACCACAGTGCTCAGGATCAAACTCCCCTGAGTAAATGCCGTCCTTTATACTTTCAGGACAAACACAAAAGCCTGCAACTATTATTCTGTTATTTTCCAGTTACACATCAACATGGTACCTAAAACTCTGTGTACTTAACCACACAAGCTCTGATCTTGTCATCAAATACAAAATACACCTTTCACTTTTCTCGATTACCCTATATCAACTGAAAATAGATAAACTGAGAATTTCCCTTATAAGATGCTCTGATCAAGCCACTGATGGCAGACTCCAAGAGGTAGGGCAGGTCTCCATGTCTCTTCAGAGAGCTTCAGGAGAATTCCAGACTTCCAAATTAAAATTTTGAAGCATTGCTAACTTTCCTTTTTCAGTGTGTGGATTCTTTCTTCACCTTAGTCATCTTTACCCTGTCCTTTGTCCTCATTTTGTTTTGCATGTGGGCCTGTCTTTAGAACTTCCTTTTCACATTTATTTCTAGCCAGGCTGCTCTGACTGTGATGGGCACGAGACCCCTGTGGTGGGAAAGACATTTCTTTTACCTATGCCTATAAGCCCATAATAAGCCCACACCCATTTAACTATGTATACTTGAAAAGCAAAACCATCTGACAAGTAATCAAGTGAAATATGAGACAAAAATGAGTTCCTTTGTATATTTTCCAAACAGTAATTTTTCTATAGTAGTGGTTTCATATTGGAAAGCCAATTATTATCTGTCATTAATAGCTATTGTCAATTGTCCTTACTGTATAGGCATCCGTGAGTGTGTGTATTTAATTTAAATGTCTGTCTGTGACCATCTGTCTTTCTTCTAGTGTGTCTGACTGTTGTGTTTTGGGGGAATGTAGAGGAAGTGAGATAATAGAACTGGGAAGGAAAATTGACTATACTTGGGCACACGTTGAAGATACTAGAATCATGTGTGTGGAATGTTTTTCCCATAAATCTAGCAAAATAAACAAGACTCATTAACTGATTGTCTTTGTTGTGTAATAAACAAAAGAGACTCAGATTGAAGCCCTTAGTGCAGAGAAAAGAGTAAGAGTTTCAATGTGGGACGCATAATATGTGTAAATATTAATAATAAATATTGTCTAAGCCAGTTAGATGAAGTATAAACATTTCATTTTTGTCTTTGTCTTCAGATGGCTGCATATTTCGGATTTTCTGTCGCTGCCACTGACATTAATGGGGATGAGTAAGTTTAAAAAAATGTTTCTAGAAACTGTTTCCTCTCGTGTTTATGAATGCTCTACTAAAACTAAACATTTTTTCTTTTGTTTCTTGATCCCCTTCCTGCTAATTTTCTTTCTATTTGTGGAATTAATTCAAAGCAACCTTAATCATGAATATTAGGCAACCTCTATGCTGGCCACAATTTTTTTCAATAGTGTTTATAATGCAAAAAAAAAAAATAATAAGCTCAGGAACTACTTGTAGATTTTTAAAAGAGCTGAAGCAAGGTTTGACTTTGAAATAACTGCTGTGATAATTTTGTACTTCAGCACAGCCATGAGAGAGGTGCAAAGAGGGAAGCAGTGTTTTAATGAGAAAGAAAATGCTTACTAAGAGATGGAATCCAGTCTTGCTCTGGTGAGAAGATTTTGTGCTTTCAGTTATGCAGATGTGTTTATTGGAGCGCCACTTTTCATGGATCGAGGCTCTGATGGCAAACTCCAAATGGTTGGGTAGGTCTCTGTGTCTCTTCAGAAAGCTTCAGGAGAATTCCATACTACAAAGCTGAATGGGTTTGAGGTCTTTGCACGGTTTGGCAGTGCCATAGCTCCTTTGGGAGATCTGGACCAGGACGGCTTCAATGGTAAGATTGAAATCCAGCAACTGTGGGTTCCTGATTCTCTGTGTCCATCTGGGAAAAGTCCTAGAACCCATCTGGAGAAGTTTGCATGAGTGAACCTTCCTAGAAAGATAGGATATTTAAAGTCAGGTTGTCTTTTTTTTCGTTAAAGATCAGAGCGAAGTTTTCAAAAAATCAGCTCTCCTGAGGTATTATTCATGAAGCTTCAAGTTAGAGTGTCAGATGGTTAATTTCTGGAGGAAAGCTTTATTCCTGTGGAGCCCAGTGCCAGCTGCTGATTTTTCTCTCTGCCTCCTGCTAAACGGCAGTGCCCTCTACTGTCCATTTAATTACAAGTGAAAAACGAAAAACAAAAATAATGCTTCCAGCACAGTGTCAAGGCAGTGCTGATTCTAATCTCATAGGTATGAGTTGCCACTAGTATTTTTAAAGTCATAACTTTATTGTGTCTAAGACTTTCTGAGCCAGGCTCTTTGTCTCTTCATGGGGACATGTAAAAGGTCCATTGTTTTTATAATAGTATCATTTCAATAGCTATATGTATCTTTAAAAAGCTAAGTTGGCTTTTACTATAGAACTCTTTTCAGAAACATGAAATATATGCCACAAGTTACCAAGATTAAAAAAATACTATTAAAAATCTTTCTAGGGATCACAGGATAGAGAGATGAATTGTTGGTGTGTTTGTATAACCAACAGTGTTTAGGGATATGCTTCCCCAAAATGTAAAGGAAATTGATTAAGAAAAACACTCCAGAAGTACAGATGACTTACTCTCCAGTGGAAAAAAAAGTGTTGTTTGACTCTGGGCTCCAGTCCTGCCTCATGGGTAGTTGTATGTTATATACCACTCAAGTGTCATCTTGATTAACCCTAGAAATATTCAACGTTAGTGAACAATAGGTCAGAGGCACACTTTGCTTCCTAAAATAATCTGGAAGATTTTAGACACCAAGATAACTTCACATAAACCAAATAAAGCTGCGTTAAACGGCTCATAATAAAACATGAAAAGAATACAGTAAAACACGCCAAACCATTACTTACTGATAACAACTACTACCTAGAAAGTATAGACCCATATTTGAGGTTCTGCTTTGCATAAAATTGATGAGTTGTTTGCTATATCACTGGGCCTCTGTCTCCCAAGCTTTCTGGGAAAGCCTGGACTTGTTTTCTGTTAAGGGTATTCTAACCAATTTATGGACGTTTCCTTGGTATTGTGATCCAGTCATTACCTCATCCTTCTTATTAGATTTTAATAATAGGATATGATCTGCCAACACAACAAATATAAACAACAGCTAAAAATATTTAAGTTTTAGAAAGATTTTATAAAGAGATTTTACTTCCAGAGAGAGATACCATAGAGGGTGTTGATGGTCTTCCAAGGTTTTACCTTAGGTCTTATTGTCCCAAGTAGTAGTTCTTGAAAGATAAGGAATTTAGTGGAAAATTGTCTGAGCTGGATTTGTGTAAATATATCATTAATTATAATATAACCTGGATCTATTTTTGTTCATGGCTGATAACATTAAGTGTCATTGCTTCTGTATTTCTGCATCCCACTCTTTCTACCTATCCCCATCAGGAAAACACTGGGTACTATCAAGAGGGTTATGAAAGGCAAAACAATAAAGTTATATTCCACAATTTTACATAGCTCCAGGGTAATTTTGTGCAGTTTTTGTCAACATCTTTTCAGAAAATCAGGGGGAGAAAAAAAAAAAAAAAAAACAACCAGAAGAGAGCAACTAAAATGATCAAAGGAGAAAATTGATTGCATGAAAACATAGTGCTTTTCAAAAATGACAGCCAAGGGAAAAGATAATAAGCATGTATAAAATATTGAAGGGATTAGAAAAATTAAAGATAATTTGTAATAATAATATCTTAACTTTAGAGCCATCTTTTGTTGGGAAATTATATTTTAATAAATACTTTTTAATGCACATATTAATTTAGAATTATATTTACCTTTTAAAACTTCAAAAAGAATAACAGAGGGATTCTTAAACAATTTAAATACTGAATTTTAAAGAATGGTACATTCTTAGTTCCCATTAAGAACAAATGTTATGGTAGGTGCTGAAAATGAGCCCATTTTTTCACATATACATTTTCCCTCTTTAAAATGCATGAAACCATCCATGTCTTTATGTAGCGGCAATGTATACGTGAAAAAAATAAACACTAGAATGTGATTATCACAGTGGGCATAATGGTCTTATACAATGGGTGAGAGATCAAGGTATTTTTGGTGACTGAGGGGTTGTCATTGAGGAGGAATAAAACAGTTTGGATACATTAAGGAACTGGAGGCTATTTGGTGTGGCAGGTACAGAAGGACCATTAGATGCAAGACAGATATTTGTCCTTGATCTCATGAAGCTTGTTTTATGGAGATTCATAGAGTAAGTAAACAAAAAATGAGGAAATGCAGGTAGTGTGACTGGGCTTTGTTTTTTTGTTTGTTTGTTTGTTTGTTTGTGTTTTTTTTTAAGACAAAGTACTGTGATAGGGAGTTCCAAGAGTTCCAAGATAGTACAATACAGTAGGGGTCCTGAGGGACAAGTACTCGGCCTCTTAGAGTTTCTAGGAAAGGCCTCACTGACAGGATAGCATTTCACCCATGATCTATGGCAAGCAGAAGCAGCAAGGCTTGAAGAGCTGTCGAGCAAAAGCTGTTTGGTGGAGAAAACAGCAAAGGTATGCCCAGAGATTAACTTGGTGTGTTTAGGAAACAGAAAAAAGGCCAAGATTGCTGGGAAGAGTGGATGAGACAAAAAGGAGGAGGGTAGAGAGGGTAGGAGAGGGAGATTTTCAAAGTGAGCAGAAGACATACCAGGCACGACTTAGGTCTTATTCTAAATGCTTTGAGAAATAATTGAAGGCTATCAAGAAGGGGGATCTGAGACAGTAAGGTTAACACTGGCTGGCTTTGAAGAGAATGAGCCATGGGGAAAGACTAGAAGTGCGAGGCCACCTGAGTGGCTACTCTAGGGGTGCAGGCAGAGCCTGGCAAGGGCTTCTCTAAGGTGGTAGCAGCAGAGACAGAGAAGTAGATGGTTTATAATATATCTTCGAATTTATAAAGATTATAGTGACCATTTGATATTTTGGAGGTTTTTTTTTTTTAAAGAATTTTAAATTCTATTTGTTTATGTCATTTCATTATAAATTGAGCAAGATCAGGATGAAGTTATAACCTTCAAATTTCTGAGCTGGATTTACTTCTGCTTAGGAAAAACAAAAGCTATGCATAGCTAAATGAGCTAGAAATTTGAGAACTAATGAACTTTAGATGAATCTTTTGACAAATGCCCATCTCCTTCTCTACCTCCTAATTTTAAAAATAAAGCATTTTAAGTCTAGAAAGGTTAAGTGGTTTGCCCAGGGTCAGATCCCAAAATATCTGGCTCTGAATTAATGTCATTTCTACATAGTTTTGCTTGAATCTCCTTGAATTAGAATCGTTACTGTTGAATAGAAAGTACTCTGTTGAATTTTGAATCAATATTTAATATGATCAAGAGGTTCTAAATTTTTTTTCAGTTTTTTAAATTGTGCATTATAATCATACTTAATAGTGGGATTCATTATGGCACATTTGTATATGCACATAACATAATTGGATCAGTCTCATTCGCCAGTAGCTTTCTATAAATATTAAGATCACTATGTAAATAATTGTAAACACTAAGACTTCCTTCTCTCTGTCTTGCCCATCTTCCCTGTCCCCTTTCTCCTGAATCACTGTTACCCTTCTCTTTTCTTCTCTCATCCTCGCTCTCCTTTCCTCCCACAGATATTGCAATTGCTGCTCCCTATGGGGGTGAAGATAAAAAAGGAATTGTTTATATTTTCAATGGAAGATCAACGGGCTTGAACACAGTGCCATCTCAGATCCTCGAAGGGCAGTGGGCTGCACAGAGSATGCCACCAAGCTTTGGCTATTCCATGAAGGGAGCCACAGACATAGACAAGAATGGATATCCAGGTGCTTTTCTGTAAATGCGTGTGGCTCGTGCACTTTTTCAGTCCAAATAGCCAAGAGTACTCATTGCCATTCTCTTGATTTATATTACACATTATTTCAGTTGAATATTTCAAGCATTGATCAGGCCTCCCCTGTACAGAAGACACTGTTCTCAGTACAGGGGACAGGAAGAAAGGCAGTTGTTTCCTGGTGGCGTACAATATGAAACACTTAACTCTGAGTCTGTTCCATTGTCTTGAGGTCTATAATAAAATGTCAGAAAAATGTTGTAGAAGCTATAAACAAAAACCAAGTGCTCCCTCCAAGTTTTTAAATGTTAGCCATTGTTTTTGTGCTTAATGAGGTAGCATTTTTGTGGACTTGACTAATTAATGTGATTTTTTAAAAAGGTAAATTATTTATTTAATAAGGCTTGAGAGGGGACACAAGCTAAGTTAGGTTACTATGAGGCCATTTTTCTATATGTGAGAAGAGATTGAGGAAGTCATTTGCCCAAACTTGCTCACTGGGTTAGTCCATTAGAACAAGCAAAACCTTTTTCAGGCTCTTATATACTTGGAGTATTACAATGAATCCAGGATCAAAGTAGGTCTTCTTTTTATTCTAAAAAAATAAGAGAATGTAGATCACCTTTGTTGTTGAAATAGTTAATAGAAGCTCAATATACAAGTATGTTGAAAGGTTTCTAGAAATAACATAAAGTTTACTCTTATCTATAAATTGGCATTATTTCCAGTTATATGTCATAATAAAATATTATAGAACTTTTAGAAACTACAGCAAAGCATATTTTTCCTATGCATTCATATTATTATTTTTTCTTGGTACGAGGGATTGAACCCAGTGGTACTTAATCACTGAGCCACATCTCCAGCCCTTTTTGCATTTTTATTTAGAGACAGGATCTCACTGACCTGCTTAGGGCCTGATTTTGCTGAGGCTGGCTTTAAACCCCTTGATCCTCCTGGGATTAATGCTGCTGGGATTAGAGGCATGCACCACCACGCCTGGCTTGCATTCATACATATTTCTTAACAAAGCAGAATCATGTTTTGTAATCTGTTTATTATATATTTTGTTTTCTTAAAGTATCAGAAACAATTCCCCTATTTTTCTTCTAAAACATAAATTTTATGTTTCTTTCTAATAAATAGCTATATCATATCTAACTTTACCTTATTTGAGGGCATTTATATCTTTACATGTAATTCTGTTGCATACCACTGAATATTTCCTTAGGACAAAATTCTAGAATTGGTATGTCAAAGATGTGCACTTTATGAACAGCCTTAAAAAATAATCCCATTTCCTCTACAAAATGGCTTTTGTCAACTTTTTCAAAAACACTCATTAGCAGTAAAAAAATAATCATTTTTCCACACTGCACCTCTTTTAAAATAATTTGGAGTACCTAGTAGATGTATTATATTGTTGTTGTTATTATTTTTATTATTATTATTTTGAGATTGGGATTGGACTCAGGGCCACTCGACCACTGAGCACATCCCCAGCTCTATTTTGTATTTTTTCAGAGTTAGGGTCTCACTGGGTTGCTTAATGCTTCACCATTGCTGAGGCTGGCTTTGAACTCATCATCCTCCTGTCTCAGCCTCCTGAGCCACAGATAATATTATTTTGTTTCAATTAACAGTTTTTAACTATTAATGAAGATAAACATTGTTGTTTATTTGTATACTTACTTTTGGAATTTCCTTTTTATGTTTTTTTTTCTCTCCTTTTCTATTGAGACGCAATTTCTCTTTCTTTCATTCCTTCATTTTTAAACTTGTGCAGTGCTTTAAATATTGACAATTTTTAACTCCTTAGCTCTTTTATACATTTCCCAGTTTGTCATGTTTGTGTCTTTGGCATAAAGATGTTTTGAATTTTCATATAATTCAATCTGTCTGTCTTTATTTGCTCTTGTATGCTTCTCTGCTTAGAAAAGGTTTCCTTAGATTGAACTTGGATATATTGTAAAATGCATCTGTGGTTTCAGTTTTTTTTTTTAAATCATCGACCAGTTATGCTCTTATGTATAAAAACTAATGTATTTTATTCTTGCTGATTTGAATGCTGCCTGCTATCATATTCAACATATGTATATGTGCTTTCTTGGTTTTGTTTCTAAAACAAGAGAACTGGAGGAAAATTTTATAATAAAAGTATAAATACACAGGCATCTGTAAAGCTTTTGCTTTTGGGGAGTGTATATGTTTGCTGGCTATACACTTCCTTTTTGGTGCTCTTTTTATGAAATAGCCAACAAAAAGTTTTTATCTACCTGAATGAAAGTCTGGTTTATGATGAGCATTTGCAATGATGAACACTTATTATAGTTTTCCAGTGTTTTATCCTCATATATCTTATCTTAGAACCTTTTAGTTTTGAGAAAATGTTTAAATCTTATGTACATTAAGCATTTCTAGAATGATACATAAGCTTTAAAAACAATTATCATTACTAACATATTCTTTTGCTTTTGCTTAAGACTTAATTGTAGGAGCTTTTGGTGTAGATCGAGCTGTGTTATACAGGTATGTTTCATGTTCTGTACTATGGGAATATTTTGAATTTTAAAAAATTCTTTTAGTTAAGTCCCAGTGTTTGAATTTCAGTTTTAATTTTCTTAGAGTAAGGATCAAACTTGTTTGTTCTTTCTATTCAGGATTTGCTGTGGGTAAAGAGTATTTATACAAGGAAGTCTCAAAGAAAAGAACAGTATAGACTTTTTTTATTTAGAAAAATGTTCAGAGTTTTTGCTCATTGTCCTTAAATTTTGTTCAGAGACATTCCCCTATGCTTTTCATTTCTCTTTAAAAATTGTATGGATAGGGGCTGGTATGTAGTTAGTGGTAGAGCACTTAACCTAGCAGGTACCAGATCCTGGGTTCCATTGTGAGCCCCTTCCCCACATCAAATGTATAGGCTGTATTTTCCTATAAGAGGTAGGAAACCAGACTGGTGTTTGTGGCCCAGTATTCTGTGAACATCATGATTATGTAATGGATCCCCACATGAATATTTTTGTTAGAAAAATGTGTAAAAATTCATATTTCTCTATTTCCCAGCTTCATGTATATTACCAGTTTTCTCTATTTCATCAATTCTCATAGAATATCAACTGGTATCTCAAGTAGCTTAATATTTCTGCAGATGGAGATTAAGCATGGTAGGAAACCTAACATCTATGCTAGGTGGTAGAGTTTGTGATGGTTCAACCTAATTACAGCTTTGGGGGAATGTGTGTACTTACAGATTTCAGGGATTTGTCATTTTGAGGCAATCTCATTGACTTGAGTCTACTGTATTTTTGTACAAGATGTAAACTTGGATATTTGAAATTTGGAAAACTATATTTACAGGTTGCAAATACCTTATCTGAAATTCTTGGGATCAGAAATGTTTCCGATTTTAGAATGTTTCTGATTTTGAAATAGTTACATAGACTTTACCAGTTAAACATCCCTTATAATAAGAAATATGAAATGGTTCAAAATCCACAACTTTTTGAGCATTATGTTGGTACTCAAAAAGTTTCAGATTTTGGATTTTTTTCAATTAGGAGTGCTTAACCTCTATTTTATTGTTTTAGCTTTAAAATTGCTGCTAATGAAGTAATACATGCATGTGGTGCATATTCAAACAATGCAAAAAGGTCATAGAATAAAAATATATTTTCTCATGTCAATTACTAGTTTATTAGGTATGCCCTGCAAAAAATACTCATATATTAAAAGAAATCATGTGCATACATGTATGTGTGTCTGTAGGCATTCTTTCTTTATTGTGGGATTTTTTTTTTTTCCTTTTACTACAGTTACGTCTTGGATGTACCTTAGAGATTATCTTATGTCGATACAGATGGATTTATGACACTCATATTGCATTGCATTAAGTAGGGACCTTGTAACTTACTTAAGCATTCTGCTTTAATGGACTGAGTTCAGATTTGTTGGCCAATTGTCCCGCTTTTCTTGGAACTGAGCAGTTTCCCAAGATGCAGGACTTTCAGTGCTGAAATTGGAAAAGTTTGGGGCAAACTGAGGCAGTTGGTCATCTTACACTTAAAGTTTGTTTCAATGTTTTTTGCTCTTAGAAAGAATGCTTTAGATGCTACTGTATCATGGTGAATGTGAACCTAAAATGCTGGGATCAATCCAAGTTTCTGCTTCTAAGTTTGAACTTTTTTCTTCCTTTTTTAAAAACAGGGCCAGACCTGTTATCACCGTAAATGCTGGTCTTGAAGTATATCCTAGCATTTTAAATCAAGACAATAAAACCTGCCCATTGCCTGGGACAGCTCTCAAAGTTTCCTGGTAAGGATATATGTTTAATAATAATTATGATTAATGGTTTGATTATTGTAAGAACAATTAAAAATTAAGATGGCAGGGCTAAAATATTACTAAAGCAGTTTCTGTGGATACACTCCATGTTTAAGCCATTGATTGGATTATAGAAATAGTGTTCCAAGGAAATTTTCTAGAATGCTCCAGAAATACTCAATAAATTACTATAAAATTAGTTTTTAAAGAATTATATATGGTCAATGAATATATTTAAAAAGAAGAAAACGCTGACAAGTTCTCAGAACTCATTTTATAAAAATTTCATTCTAAACAGGCCCTTTTAAATGAAATCTTTTTTTTAATTAAAAAATTTTTTTTTCTTTTAGTTGTTGATGGACCTTTATTTTATTTATTTAGTCATATGTGGTGCTAAGAATCGAACCCAGTGCCTCCCATAGTCTAGGCAAGGGCTCTACCACTGAGCCATAAACCTAACCCTTTAAATGAAATCTTTAAAAGATAATGTTCTTTTTCAGATTTCAAATCTGTATGGCTGTATGGTAAAATTACTTTGCTCTTATATTTTGATCTTTTACTTGTTTCTTTTCTGGTTTCCAAAGAAAAATATAATATTTTTTCATAAGTATAGTGTCTGACTTCTCTGCCTCATTATTTTCCAAGTTTCATGTGTATGATACTCAGGATTTTTGCTATATTTTCTTTCTACCTATATTATAATTTTCTTAAGTTTCCTTTAAACCGACTCATATTTTATCTCAAAGTATTTTAAAAATACAATGGAGAGGGCTGGGTTGTGGTTTAGTGGTAGAGCACTTGCCTAGCATACACGTGAAGCACTGAGTTCAATCCTAGCACCACATTAAAAGAAAAAAAAAAGAAATAAAGGTATTTTGTCCATCTACAAGTAAAAAAAAAAAAAAAGCCCACAATGGAAAAGACAATATCTTTCTCATATGTGAAAATAAATACAAAACTAACTATTGGAAGTTTTTGGCCCTGTGTACTTTAACATCACTTAGAGGAACACTGTTCACATTCTTTACTTGCACAGAAAAATTGCAAAGAATTATAGATGAAGAGGAAAATGATTGGTAACCAGGAAAATTTTATTTAAAAAGAGCTAATGATAGATATTTTCCTGATTTTGTTTTGAATTATTATGTCATTAAAATCTTGAAAAATTTAGTTTATTCATGGGATTACATTAATCATTCTATAATAATTGCTCTTAATTTTTATTGATTGTTAATCAAATTATTTTCAAGATTTTGGCTTTTAGTTTTACTGCCTTTCTTTCCTTCACTCATTTTTTATGTTTCTGTGAAGATGCTAATAATATGCTTGTAATTATGCTAATAATTAGAAGGCTTCAAATGCACTAATTGAAGTACTAGCTTTCATCTAAATTTGACCATGGTACACAGCTAGAACTAAACCTTGCACCATAATCCTATAAACTTATTACTTACATCAACTTTTTTTATTGTATTCACTTTTTTAAGATGCTGGATACAGCCAACTACACTGATTTCATGACCTGTTAAGATATTGTAAAGCACATCCTCTAGAGAAGCTTGGTAATTAAAGGATGCTTCAGTGGATCGTTTTTTTTTTTTTAATTATAGAAGACATTATTTTAAATCTAACTGACATTTCCCTTATTTAGATTTATCAACAGGTTCTGTAAATTTGAATGGAGGTTAGGAAATTATTTTTCTCATCGAGGTACCCTGAAAGGCAACATGTTTAAATTACTGAAGAATGAGTTAAATTAGTCTGGGTAGTTTCATGTTTTAAGAACAATATTAAGATATGAAGAAAGATGTAGGGCTTCCTGGCCTTAACTATGCACCATCAGCCCTCTGCACCTGCCATTTCTGCATTCTTGGTTTCAACCAACTGCATATAGAAAAAAAAATTATCGTCTGTACTGAACATGTACACACTTTTTGTTTTTACTTATTATTGCCTATATTATTGTGTATTCCCTGACAATACAGTAGAATGACTATTTACATGGCATTTTCATTGTACTAGGTATTATAAGTAGATATGACTTAAAGGTAATCTAGAAATGACTTAAAGTATGAAAGAAGATATCTGTAGGTTATATGTAAATTCTGTGCTGTTTTATTAACGAGCATCCACTGATTTTGGTATCTGTGAAGGGTAGTTCACAGAACCAATCTCCTACAGATACCAAGGGATGACTGTATAAGAAATGTGAGATTTGAATGATATTAAATATATCTAAGCTGGATTATAGGATTTACATGTATATATTTTCTTTTCCTACAGTTTTAATGTCAGGTTCTGTTTAAAGGCAGATGGCAAAGGAGCACTTCCAAGGAAACTTAGTAAGTATCCTATGAAAAATCAAAGTATTTTAATACTCTTACATATACAGCACTTAAAAATGTTTACTTAGTTACTCAAATTGTTATTGTTTTTAAACTGAATGTTTATGCTTAAACACATTTAAGATGGCAACCTAATTACTTTGGCAACTATTAAGCCAGTAAATACATTTTAGAAATAATATATTTATTAATGGACATTGTGTGCAAACTAGCCCACAAAATAGCAAATATAATGCACTATATATAAATATAGCTTTTAGAAAGGTAAACATTTAATGATGTAAGATGAACTCTGAGGGGAATGAGTATCCTTTTTTTGTTTTTTGTTTTTTTTTTGTCTTAGATATTTATGCTTTTTTATTTTTTTATTTTTTTGTGAGTATCCTTGTTATGAGTAGATGATAGATATCTCAGACTGAGATATCTAGCTTTATATTTCTGGGAAATACCGAACAATCTTAGAAATAGAGATGATTTAGGAATAGTGAGGAGAAAATGTTTTCTTCACTAAATTTAATCTACCCAGCAGAGTGTACTTCCTTTCCTAAAACAATTGATGTGATCCTGAGAGCAGAGTAGGGATATTAATCAATATTGCCAGAATTTGCCAGTGCATCAGATAGTGACAGGTGCTAATGAGTAACAAAGCAAAGAGGAGGACTGAAGCCGTTGGGCAGGTGTTCATGTGAGTGAGTCCAGCAGGACCTCACTGGAGGTAACTTCTCTATAGAGACCTGCAGGAACAGAAGACTGGTTCACACAGAAGAAATGGCAATTTCAAGAAGCCCAAGGAAGGGCTGGGATTGTGGCTCAGTGGTAGAGCATTTGCCTAACATGAGAGAGGCACTGGGTCTGATCCTCAGCACCACATAAAAATAAATAAATAAAATAAAGGTCTATCAATAACTAAAAAAAAAGAAGTCCAAGGAAGGAGTGTGTCTGTGTGTTTGAGAGACTGCAAGGAGAGCAGTGTGACTGAGTAGAACCAAACATGAATCACAATAACCCTGGGTTTTCACCTAAATTTGAAATGAAAGTCAATCAGTATTTAAAGAAACTTGAAAAGAGAGCTGTTGTGTTAAAAATTCATACTCTCATCTGCTTTTAAGAAACTACTTAAAGAACTGAATTTTAGAAAGTGGTAATTGTAACAACTGTGCTTCTGACTCTGCACCGTCATGTTTATGTGATTCTTAACCCATCAAACAGTCACTTACTTCATGAGGGACATGTTTATCTGACCATTTGATATGATAGCTTTGTTCAAAGCAGGAATTTCAATTGGTACAAATTGTTTACCATAGTTTTAATATGACGTGGTTTCCAATTAATGAGTACTTAATCAAAATCGACAGAGTTTTGTCACTTGGATTAATGGCAGAAGTTTTTTTTTTGCCCATGCTGGAGATTGAACCCAGGCCTTAGGCACACTAAAGCAATTACTCAACCACTGAGCTATATCCTCCTCCAAGAGTGAAAGTCTTAATTCACATATATTTCACCCTCTGGACTTCCTACAGCTTAAACTAAAAGAATTTTTCCTTTTATATTTTATTGCCATTGTTATTTGGAATTACATATGATATTGCTTTGGGGATGGTTGGCTTAATTATTTAATTATTATAGTAAATTTATTCAGTGTTAATATGTTGTAGTGTCCCTCGTTAAAAGATATTTTTAGTGAATTTGAAGCAGATCACTTCTCAGAAATAAATATCTCTGTTGACATGAAAATTCTAGATATCTAGGACCGTGGTTAAGTCCATAAAGAATACATTGGTTATAAATCCTTTGATTTATATAGACTTCCAGGTGGAGCTTCTTTTGGATAAACTCAAGCAAAAGGGAGCAATTCGGCGAGCACTGTTTCTCCATAACAGGTCCCCGGGTCACTCCAAGAACATGACAATTTCTAGAGGGTGCAGATGCAGTGTGAAAGAGCTGATAGCATATCTGCGGGTAAGAGATCATCTGTGTTCTGTTATCTTTTCTTTTTAATTGTTACTTTTTCATTTTCATCTAAATGACTTCCAAAGTGAAGAGCACAAAAAAATATGCTTAAGGAAATCTGGCTCTTTGAAGCATCAAACCTGACAGTAGAAGTCATGGATCTTACTTCTGGCAGACTGCAGATGGCCTTTCAACAACAATATTACTGAATGAATTATGATAAGGATATTTATTAAATATTGCTGGACTCAAGACAGTAAAGGAAATCTCCAGGGTCCAAAAAGTCAGCAATCAACTAAACCCCTGAGCTCAATCTGAATTGTGAGTTGAAAGCAAAATTTTGAGCCTAAGCTGCTGGCAAGGATGGGCACTGGGGAAAGGGTGAGTAGGAATTTCAGACACCAGCTTAGGGATTCAGACTCTCCAGGGCCTTCTGCAATCTGAGACTCCTTCATTAGGTCTAGACACTTTCATGAAGCTAAAGTGTCCTTAGGATGGAGGTGCATCTTGACTACAGCAAGAGAAGATGCAAAGAAAAGACTATACGGAGGTCAGGGTGACTGACCTGTAACTACTTCTTTTCAATATGTGACCTTGTACAAGTTACTTATCAAAACCCAAATTTCTTTATCCTTAAAAAGGGAGTATTAATAATATCAATTTTCTTCTCTTGTTGTAAGTATTTAATAAGATACTTACATGTTGTAAAATCATAGTCTGGCATGAATCTAAAAATCAAAGGTAGTTCTTATTACTCATATTCATGGATTTCCCTTAATCATATCACAAAAGAATGTGGTTCATATTCATCTGAATACTTTAGGGGAACTGCTTCCACAGATAAAAGATGGAAATTTTAAAAAGAAGGCAAACATATCGCTAAAGCTTTAGAAGATTGAGAATCGTTAACAGGTTTATTTCACAGACCCATGTAGAATTCAGCACTGAAACTCAATAATTAGAGAATGTAGAAATTGATCAGGAATAAAATTGATCATGTATGCCACAGTCTGGCTGGGCAAAATAACCGGGGGTGACAAGCAACTTGTGAAGGTTGATACAGCGGGAGCCGCCTTATTGTAGGACAGCAGAGGTATTTATACATAACTGAATACACAGCTTGACTCAATTTAGCATCATCCAGTTACAGCAATCAGTCATTAAGGAATCCTCATTATCTTAATAATTACACACAGCTTAACTTAATTGACATAATCTAGACACAGCATTCAGTCATTAAGGAATCTCCATCATCTTAATGGCTCGCTGGTGTTCTCAAACCACTCCTCCTGGCAAAGTGCCAGGTGCCATCTTGACTTGTCTGTGCCCCTCAACACATGTATAGGCCATAAAGGTAATCTAAACATTTCAAAGAGATATCATAGGAAATATGGTATCTGATCACAATGTGCTTGTGTTATCTTTCCATCACTATAAGAAATACCTGAGGTAATCAACGTATAAGAAGAAAAGGTTTGAAAGGTTTTAGCCCATGATTGGTTGAGCAACCCTGAAGTTTTGGGGGCTGCAGTGAAGCTGTAATTCTGAAAGAAGTTATGAGGCAGGGCAGTACCACCAACCTCATAGCCAGAAAGCAAAGAGCAAGAGAAAGAGACTGGGGTCCCACAGTCCCTTTCAAGGGCATCTCCAGTGACCTGAGGACCTGACACTAGCTAGGCCAGGCCTCTTAAAGGGTTCCCCACTTCTTCAGTAGTGCCTCCCTAGTGTCCAGGCTTTTATCACATGGACACTTAACATCCAAATGGTAGCAACAGTTTTTAGAAACCAATAGCAAAAAGATAACTTAGGAAATTGAGTTCCTAGGAAATGTAGTTTTAAATAACTTAAGGGTCAAAAAGAGATTATATTGGAAATATGTAATTGAATCATTGTGAAAATACTACATATCACAATGTCTAGATGTCACAGAAGCAAAATGTGAATGTAAGTGTATATCCTTCAATGCCATTTAATTTAAATGAATGAGGAAAAGTAGAGGTATTAATTAGACTAGCTTCATAGAATTAGCTGGCTTTGTGTTGTGCACTTGTAGATTTTTCCAGATACTTTAAGTTGATACCATGTTTAATGTGAAGATTTTCCATTTCTAGGATGAATCTGAATTTAGAGACAAACTTACTCCAATTACTATTTTTATGGAGTATCGGTTGGATTATAGAACGGCCGCTGATGCCACAGGCTTGCGACCCATCCTGAACCAGTTCACCCCTGCTAACCTCAGTCGACAGGTACTGTCTCTCCCAGTGTGCTCCTGCTACATACTGGGATCTTTATTAAGTTCTTATAATTTGTGTTCTTAAATATCATAAGGGATTGCTTTTATAATGTTGGTAGATGTTTAGTTAAATAAGTCAGAGGGGTAGAAATGTGAACTTTCCTGTCAGAGATATTTAAATCCACTCTGACCTTAGTTGTGTGCAGAAAAAGCCAGGGTCACATTTCATATGCATAAAATAATAAAATAATTCAAGGAAAACAACAAAACTCCATTCTTTACGTAGTGTTTTAGTATTTTGCTAAATACCTTTGATACACATCTTTAATATACATTTTGTTTTTAAAGTGTATATAGGTATATATGTATTTACACATTACACCAATATGCATATATGGTATATAATCATTCTGTACATAGGCTAAGTACAAGAACATAAGACTTCAGATTGATATTTTAATTTTAGAAAAACCTGTGAAAAACATGTATTTAAATATTGTTATTTTCTGTTTCTTCCTTTTCTAACATGTTCATATTTTTGGATTGATATTTTTTTCCCCATAAAATTCTTTAAACTAAATATAGATTGACCTTTCTGTTTTCTTTCTTTCTTTTTTTTAACCTTTATTTATATATTTTTGTGTGGTGCTGAAGATTGAACCCAGTGCTTCACACATGCTAGGCAAACACTCTACCACTGAGCTACAACCCCAGCCCCTCGTCATTTCTTTTTTATTTTCCTTTAAAGGATCTCATGACTTGCTCATTTGGTTTTTGGTTTTTTTAGGGGGTAATTTGAGAGGACTATATAACTACAGCATAAAGCAAATTTTTAAAAAAAAAATGTTTAGTTTTTTGTAACTTTTATATTTTAATAATCCATTTTGTATATCAATAATCAGACGTCATTTTATACTATCTATTTCAAGAGAGCCTGTTATATATAGCTCTGTGTTTATATTGTCTAATTTGGTAGGTGTTCAGTGTTATGTTGATTAACAATTTAGTAGCGGAATCTATGCCTCTTAAGGTCTGTCCGTCAGTATTGTGCTATCTTTCAAACTTAATTTTTATTAGAAATTAATTTTAATAATAGGTATGTATTAGTTTTCTAGGGCTTCCACAACAATGTACCATAGAGTGGGGGACTTAAATAACATAAGTTCATTTTCTCACAATTTTGAAGGCTAGAAATCCAAGATCAAGGGGTCACAAGGGTTGATTTCTTCCAAGGCCTATCTCCTTGGCTTATAGATGCTCACCTTCTCTTCTGTTCTCACATGGTGTTTCCTTTTCATGTGTCTGTGTCCTAGACTCATCATTTAAGAAGCACAGGTGAGTAATATTAGATTAAGGCCTACCCTAGTGACATCATTTTAGTTACTTTTCTAAAGACTGTATCTCAAATACAGTCACATTCTGAGGTACTGAGGAATAGAGCTTCAACATACAATTGGGGCAAATATAATTCAGCCACAACAATATCCAAAATATTATAGTTTTAACTTGTAAGCAATTTAAAAATTGTCAGCAAACTATTTACATTCTGTTTTTTTACTTTCTTCAAAATTCAGAATATATTGTACAATTATAATATATATAAATCCAGATACTAAATTTTTTTGAAAAATTTTTTATTTAGAATTCATATAATTTATAGTTGAAAAAGATATATGTACTCAAGTTATTCTAAACATACTAAAAGTTTTTCAGTAAGGGATTTCAATATCAGTTTTTTTAAAGTAAAATCAGTTTCTCAGTCACACAAGACAAGTTTCAAGGGCTCCAGGGCCACATTTGGCTTCTATGTGGCTACTTATATTAGTGCAGATCAAAAGCTTCCTTTTTTGCAGTAGGAGATTCAGTGGTTTCTGCAGAAGGAATGGTTATCACCCCCCCTTTTTTTTTTCATTCAAATATATATCATATTCTTGCTTAGTCCAAGATATTAAGTATAATTCCAGGTATGGTGGCACATGCCTGTAATCCCTGCAACTAAAGGCTGAGGCAGGAAGATTATAAGTTCCAGGCCAGCCTCAGCAATGTAGTGAGACCCCATCTCAAAATAAAAATAAAAAGGGCTAAGGATGTAGTTCAGTGGTAGAGCAACTCTGGGTTCAATCTCCAGTAGTTGAAAAAAAAAAAAAAAAAAGAAAGGAGAGATATTAAGTATATAACTGTAGGGATTTGGTTCTCTGGACATAGAAGACATTGCTTTGTGGGTTTCCACTTCTGAAACTATCTTTTCTGGTAACATGGTTGTTTGTTTGTTTGTTTGTTGCTTTTCTTTTATACATTGTCACTTAATTATTCTGTAGTCATTCAGGAATGCTGTGTTCCTGTTGATAATGTTTTAACCACAGCTCCAGTGCCAGCTTAGTTCTTTTCCTACCCTGCAAAGTGATAGTTAGCCATGTGTTCATTTATCACAGTTTTATTAATATTTTTATACAAATTTCTTATTCCAGACTTCAGATACACAACTTACATGAGTTTGTTATGCACAAAATTCACCCTTTATTCCTGAACTGAGCAGTGATTTCCTTTGTGTGACTTACAGAATCACCATAAATTCTCCTAACTATCCTGACCTTTTCTTTTTTCTTGATGCTTATGGCAACTACTTGCATCTAGTAATTGAATTAATTCCATATATTTTGGGGTTTCATCCCAATTAAATTGTCAATTAGCATTCCTATCAAGTAATTCTATTCCAGGTAACTGCACTTCCCTCGTGACTTAGAAGTATGCAATCATCACCTGTTTTTAAATGATTCCTTTCATTATTCTTTTCCTTTAAATCCTTTTCTCTCTTCTTTTCATCTGCTTCTGGGTATGAAGCCCTTTAGATATTAAGAGTAGACAAACCAAGAATTTTCCTTCCTTCTTTTCTCAATTTTTATATTCCTGTTTTCACATCTTATCCAACATATTCTGCACCTTCCATTATTTCTCTTTGGGTTTTTTCCATACTATTCTATCCAGCACATTCTCCTGGACAGACCTGGATAAGGAAAAGTTCAGATTTTTCTTGTTGTACCTATTCTGGTCATTCTAACACTTCTGGTTCCTTTTCCTTTATTTCTTTCTAAATGGCCATGGACATGCTGCATCATTTTGACCAGTTCTTTCCCACTTTGGTCCTCCTGTTGTATGGCTCCAGTATATTTTCCGTTCTTTATTCTTTTGTCTTTTGTAGCCATATTTCCAAGACATTGACAGAGGGCACACTCTTTAGTGAGGAATTCTAGGGGTTTATATTGCTTAAGTTCACACAACTTAGTTGTAAGCAGAGTCAAAACCTTCAGCCTAGCATGGTGGTGCACACCTGTAATCCCAACTACTTAGGAGGCTGAGGCAGGAGGATCACAAGTTCAAGGCTAGCAATATAGTGAGACCCTGTCCCAAAACAAAATATAAAAAAGACCCAAGGATGTAGCTCAGTGGTAGAGCAGCACTGGGTTCAACCCCTAGTATTGCAAAAGACAAATCAAACAAAACAAAAATGAATCTCTCAATTTTTAATCATTACTTCTATACCAGATTTTATTTCAAAATAGCAAAATAGATAAAACTAAAAAGTCCAAATGTTATGTTGTATCCTACTAATATTATTCTTTTTTCTCATTCTTGACAAGCTACACTGACCTGTTTGTAAATAAATGATTTTTTTTATTCAGGTATACAAACAAGTTGATGAGTGTATATAAATACACATGTGTTCATACATGTCTATACACATATGTACTGATATACACTGCATATGCAACCTGCATTTTTTTTTCATGTAGATAAATAAATATTTTTTTTCTAGGCTCATATTCTACTTGACTGTGGTGAAGACAATGTCTGTAAACCAAAACTAGAAGTTTCTGTAAATAGGTAAGTTTTGTTCCAAACAATAAACATTACCATAAGAAATTCAAATCACAGAGCACATTTTCCTATTCAAAGTACTAATATTTTAATGAGAATTAGTTATATTAGGGGGTAATACATGATTTTATATAATAATAAAGCTATTAATCTTGAACTTAAAAAAATATCTACTTTGTTTTTACTAGTTGCCTAGCTTGACAGATTTGTGACCATTTAGCTTTGGATACTATCACAAAGTTATATATCATCTTAAAGATATACTTCATTGTAGGAATGCTCTTGACTTAAGCACATCCTTACCATGTTTTATAGCATATACATTAAAAAGATTATTGTAAAAATCATGCTTTTAGAAAATAATTAGGGAGGAAGGATAGAATCTTCAACAAATGGTGCCGGGAAAATTGGAAATCCATATGCAACAAAATGAAATTGAATCCCTTTCTCTCGCCAGCCACAAAAGTTAACTCAAAATGGATCAAGGAGCTAGATATCAAATCAGAGACACTGCGTCTGATAGAAGAAAAAGTTGGCTACGATCTACATATTGTGGGATCGGGCTCCAAATTCCTTAATAG